AGACATGTTCAATCACGGCCCTACATATTATGAACTTTTGTAAAAGTAAGTTAATCGATCTTATATTTTACAACTTACCATTTGAAGAAGACATGTCTTCCTCGATGATATGAAAAATAATTGACGCTTACATCGTCACAGGTATTTCCATTATCGACTTGAAATTACTTTGTCATCCTATATAGTTTGAATCAGATCGTTATTATTTACATTACTAGTTGAATTTAATAAAGACATCTTTGTTTAGAATTTTTCATATAAAACCTATTACCTTACACACTATAACACAAATGATTAATATATATGCGTGTGTTAGTGAAAATGTGGCTTTTCACTTTGCATGTGTTCTTAGCCATCAATTTTGTATTAAAAAAGGTCTAATAAGAATGGTTTGTAGAAGAAATCTTTGGTCTTTAATATTTAGTTACTGGAATGAATAAAACATGCAGTGCCTACAAACTATTCAGGGTATTTTTTTGTACTGAACTGGAATTTGTTTATTTATTTGACGATAGGTATTTTATCAAAGATTTTTTAAAGATTATACATGCCCGTAAAATAAATATACAAAACATGTCTTTGACTCTCAGTTCGTGTACAAATAAACATAGTAAATTTTGAAAACAATTGACCTGTTAAGTATAAAAAACGGAATCGTAACCGTAGTATTATTGCGATCGTAAAAAGGCAAAATTAAAAACACAAATACAAATACAAAACGATCTTTTTTTCCTGAGCCCTCTGCATATAGGTAAACACCTTGTATGTTGAACGTTAAGGGTAAATTACTTTTATCTCACCTGTTTTCTTGACTTTTTGATCAATATATATTTGAAACCTAATGATATCCTGATTCTCATTGCGTAAACCTGCCAAACCTAAGCATCCCTCAAATGCCAATTTATTTTTCTGTAAATGCTCCAAAGGAAGTTTCAAAAGACAATTACGTTTTACAGCCAAGACGGGAAAAGATTTGGTTATTCATCAATTTAATAATCTAATAAAAAAGAGGCGAAAGATACCGAAGGAATATTATATTGTATAAGTCGAACACAAACTGACAATGCCATGGCAAAAAACGAAAAAAAACGATCAAAAGTCAAATAGCAGTATACAAAACACATCATAGAAAAGACTGAGCCTCATGAACCCCACCAAAATAACCGGGGATGATCTTCGGTGCCCTGGAAGGGTAAGCAGATTTTACACCCGTCGTGTTGCTCATGTAAGTACAGACCCGGTGATAAGTCAAATAAGATAAGAGGAAAAGATGATGATATAAATGATATCTCTTATGCCGTTGTATTAGCATTAGCACACTTTATGTCATTGCGGTTATTTGGCTCCGCACCTTGGTCGTTGTGTCTTTTTAAAAGTTATTATAGTAAGGTTTCAGATTAGGTAATGCAAATGGGAGGACAATGATATTTTGTTTGGCACATCTCATCTTTAAGTAGGACTTAAATTATAATAAAAATAATGAGAGTATGATACACACAATAAGGGCTCCATTAAGAAAATGAGAATAAGTGCAATCCTCCGTTTGTGATAGCATGGTTCACCTAATTTAGCTTGTAATTTTCAGTTATAGGCAAATACATATATATTGTTGCAAATCAAAATTAAATCACAAAAGATTCGTTAAATGGAAACTAATCAATATAATAGGTTTTAAAGATTGTTTTAACTGTATTCTCTGACTTATGTTTAACGGATCATTGTTAAAATTGTTTGCCTATCGACATTCAGCAAAAAAATTGCAAAATGAAAAAAACCTATTTGTTAAAAATCATTTTAAAAAGAGTAGGATAACATGTAAAATTCAAACACGCTTAAATTTAATTGATACCAAGTAGAGTCATATGTGTTGATTATTACAACGGTTAAAGCTACAATAAAGTTAAGGATATATCAACAAACAAATCTCTCATTGTATATATATCATTTACATTTAAATAAAGGGTTGGATGATATAGTTTTCGTATGTTTTTAAATGGGTTACTTAAATAATTTACCTTTAATAAAGCGGAACTATTAGTAATTTATTCTACATATAGATTTTTAAAGTTTAAAATCGCATATAAAAATTTGGAGAGGTACATTTGGGGATTAAGGATGTACACCTCTGAAGAGCTTAAAGTTAAACCTTTTTTCTCAACCCGATTTTTGGGTGTATATGAATGTAAGAAAGTAATTGATGAAGAAAAATACATATGGTGGTATACTTCTTTTTTTTTTGCTACGATCATTTGAAAGTACCCCATTTTTAATGATTTTCACAGTTTTCATAACTTTTTACCCATTTTTGGGCTATTATCATGAAAATAAACACTTTTTTCATACTTTCACTAAAGATGAAGTGGACCTATCTGAATAAATTTAATTTAAAAAAAAAAAAACTATAGGTTAGAGTTAATATTAGAAAATTTTATAAAATTTTGTTGCTTTTTCGTGATTTTTCTCTTTTTTTTTACAAGAAAAAGCATATTATTTCAACTTCTTTGTTATAAATGATTGAAAAAATACATAGAATTTTAAAAAGAAAAAATATGGGAAGTTTATATTTTTGGTACAATCATTTCTTTGTACCTCTCACCCAATCATAAAATTTTAATTTCATTACTCAAAAACTACTTATTGTAAGTACTCAATTTTTTCACAAAATTTAGTTTGATTATTATATTTTTAAAATTCATTGATATTTTCCACTTGTATCACACTTGTATGACATGTATAGGAAATAAGATTTCAACGAGACTGAAACATCAGAAAGATATATCCTTAACATATGAATATAGAATGCGCTTCGGACGCATTAAATTTATACGTGTTGTTTTCATTTTTTAAAAAGATGTGGTATGATTGCCAATGAGACAACTCTCCACAAGAGAACAAATTGACACAGAAATCAACAACCATTGGTGACCGTACAAAGATACATCTTTCCAACTATGCAACTTTATGATGATTCTTCACTTTAACATTATGAAATTCAAATGTATTATTTTGATAGTGTGCGACATTTAAGATACTATCATAGATCAAATTTACTTTGGCAACAATCGGGATTTTTTCCTGTATTTCGGATTAGTTGAAATGGGTATGTGTTGTATACCCTAAATGTGTAATGTTTTGTCAGATTATACATGTTATATTTGCAGTTGTTTGCCCAAGATATTGTATATATTTCATTGTTAGTTTGGTGATTTCTTGGCATGTCTGGAAAAGTTTGCTCGAGATACTTATGTCGAAACTCACTTTTGGTATTCTATTTTTTTTATGTTAATGTGAATCAAAGACATTCAGATTTTTAATTACAATTTTAAGATATAAGATAACGTATTATTACATCCATGAAAAATTGTTATAGTGTTCATAATTTTAAATCTGACCATCAGAACATTGTCAATCGATTTGTACATTGATTAACTACTAACGTTTTAATTTTTTACGTTTTTGATATTTTTATCTATTTATCCCTGAAATGATGTATTCCGTAATCATGGTAATAGTCAGTGTCTTGGTTTTTTCCTTTAGGGATTAAAGGTGCTAATTGCTAAATATCTCTCATATTGTGTTTTTGTTTCATTCAAAGTTCCGGAATTGTTAACCACCAAATAAGTAAATATTTAAGTCGAATGATGAAGGTTTCACGATTTGTTTTTGTGATTTTCCTTATGGTTATTGAACTATTGGCCCAATAGACACCTTTAATTTTCCTTGCAGTCTTTTATGAACTAGTTTGTTGTTTCGTCCTCATTTGTTTTTTACCATGACGTTGTCATTTTCTCGAATAAGTATTTAAAATTTCCCCTTGGTAACATCAGTTGCCGATTTAATCGTTGCGATATTGACTGCTTTAACCCCTTTCCGTTGTCATTGTTCAGTATATTATTAAGTTGATTTGTGCTATAAACACCTAAAAATTTGTGCTCCAATGTTTTTGTGTGATATGGTTTTGTTTGTCGTTTTCCCGAAATTCATAAAATTGCCATCTCCTAAATACTTGAATAATTAAACATACTTATTGTCTGAAATTTTGTAACAAAAGAAATTCATTAAACAGTCAAAAGAATCAACAAATTTTCAGTGCATTTAAAAAGTGAGATTTATGAACGGTTAATTTGATTTTTGCAAACAAATTATATTTAATTTATAGAATCATGATTTAGCAAGTAATTCAGATATATTTGTTCTAATCCCGAGATGTATAAATAAATCATTGGCACAGAGATAGGTAGCGTCTGCATGTAGTTTTGACAATATAATGCAAATGTTGAAATTAAAATAACAATGCTTCAATCTTTCAATCAGTTTAATTGAGGTCTAGAGCTGGCATGTCAGTAACTACTTGTTGCCTTTTGTTAATTTATATTGATCATTGTCATTTTGATTACTAGTTTCTTTTGTTACCTATTCTAACATCGGACGCAGACTTCTTTTAAACTGAGTGTTACTGTGCGTATTGCTGTGTGTGTTTATTATTAGCCCCTTGGCTAGATGTATAGGAGGAGGGTTGAGATCTCACAAAAACATGTTTAACCTCATATAGTCGGGGAAGTCATGTCTTCTTCCTATGGTAAGTTGTAAAATAAGATCTAGTAACTTCCTCACACAAACATTCTGAATATGTAGGACAGTGGCTAAACATGTCATAAAGATAAAGTGGTTTTTTTAAAAGACCAATTTTAAAGTCAAATTATTTTGATAAATAACTTTAACACGCAATACGGGTAATTGGGCTATTTTACACAATATGTAATGATTTTCGCTTTGAACTTTAATAAAGACACCTTCATTATGCACAGATTAAAATTCGTCTTTCGGTCAATTTTATAAAACACAAAATGTTAACAAAAGATTACCGGTATTTTGTTTCCCTTTGTCACACGAAAGACAACGTTCGATACTTTGTTTTTTAAGAAAGGCGAATGACAGGTTTCAATTAAAAAAAGTATTATGTTTTTTCCCGAGATTCTCAATAACGCTTCTTGTCGATGTTCAAACCTGACATCCGGAATAACAATTCATTTGCTTATAGAAAGGTAAAAAAATTAGTCAATTTGTCTTCCTGTTGTTACAGTTAAGTCAATTTATACTTTTTGTTCTTAATATTTATACCGCTTTATTTTCATAATAAGTTTGTTATGTATTGATGTATGAGATAGCGGCAAAAGATACCAAAGGGGGTATTCAAACGCATAGGTCGAAGAAAAACTGAGAAAACGAAACATGACAAGAACACAACATCGAGAACAAAATACTGAGCAACACGAAGACCTCAAAAACATGTGTGATCTAAGGTGCTTCGGAATTGTAAGAGGATCTTGCTCAACATGTTACACCAGTGACAGTTGACGAGAAATATGACAAACAAAAAGTGCCAGACAATTAAAAGTCAACTTTGTCTAATAATTTTGTTAACAATTTTTGAATTTATGAACAGACAATTCCATTGAGATCGTGATTCGGGTAGTCTTTAATTTTTTAACACATTATTATTTCATGTGTTTTAGCTGTTTATCAAGATAAAGGTGACAATTGTGCAATTTTAGCACAGTTTTCAACAATTTGCAAGGTGAACGTGATAGTTAAGTTTTTTTGGTGGGGGGGATGCTATTTTTATAGGCTATCCCTTAGATGGAATATAAAACAAACGGTTCCGGTGAGGGTACAATTTATGGCTGCAGGATTTGAATCTACCTTTCCAATCAGTGTCTATTAGCACCAACGTTTTGAGGTTGATCTCCGCTAAAAGCTAGGTGTAATCGATATAGTATTATATTTTCCTTCTGATTTAGTCAACTTATAAACATGACATCCACGATATACATGATGTATTGTTGAAAGGGAAGTGACAGTAATTTTTCGAGAAAAGAAAATAAAATATTAATTTTTATATTTTAGTTTAAACATAAGTACATGTACTGAAAATCCTGATATTAACTGAATATGAGTACACATTGTTTAAATTTTTGCTTTATAAATTCAGCGAGGGATAAATATGCTGGTATATAAAAAACAATATAAATTACACAGTATTAAATAAGGAACAATCGGATCTATTCAACCGATAAACAATTGATAAATGTTAACATTTTGCATGTGAAATACAACTATTTGTAGACTTACATAAATTATTGTTATTGGAAATTTTTGTCATCTTTTTCTTAAATTTCTAAAAAACATCTAGTGTGTTATAATTTTAGAGCTTGACCATTTTTTTGATAGACAATACGCCCTAAAACCACCCAATTCCACCGATAAATAGATGGTTGATTTAATTTTACAACATTAATGCCAACATGCTTATAGGTGTAATACCACCAAATCATAGTACGTCACATCCGGTTGCATACGAAAATAGGTCGAAAAAAAATATTCCCTTGAATTTGACAGTTGTAGGTAATTGATCCTACATTTCATTGCAGTAAAACATTTCTGAGTCATAAACATATATCTTGGGTATTTCAAAGCACCATTATTTCTTTATTTGGGGTTTCTATAGAATATTTTGGAAACTTGAGGTTACATGGTTACTAAAGCTTGTACACAGGTTTAAAAAGGGGGAAAATTTGATTGGTTAACTTCCAGTGATGGTTATTTTCTTATATGCAAAGAAATGTTATGTGAAATTTTTTCTATAGTACTGGACAGGATAAAACTTTACTCATGCCAAGTATTTCTTTATTTGAAACAAAGATACATTCTGCACAATTTTTTGAAAAGTGCAAATTTAACAAAGACTAATAGGGGAAAATCAATGGTGGTATTACACCTAATATGGGAAGCTGTACATGCACCTTTGACCTTGTGAGTACTCTCATGTGTTAAAATGTCTTGCTATTTAAGTGAAATATTACAAATAATGAAATATTCTGAGTGGATTGAGTCTCCAAAATACATTTTATGAGAAAATTTCCTTGAAATAGGACTTTACCATGAATATTAGTTGACAGAACAAGCCATACTTAGAGTCTTGGGGAGCTTTTTCTCCTTATTTCTTATATTCTGCTATACTAGAAAATTTTTCCTAAGAAATACTTTAATAAATATATAGTTTTAAGTAAATGAAATTATTTTTAAAGCAGTAACAACAAATTATTCACCAAAAGAGAAGTTTTTTATGTCCCTCTCTGGAACGCGGCGTAAATTTAAGTTTTACGCAAGGACTTATTGAAACCTCCTTGGAGACAGTAAACTTTTATACGGATAGTTCAAGCAGCTTGAATACTTCAATTAATCATTTATAATAACATTCCTATCATAAATGAGTGAAAGTTACCCCAAAATTTTTATTTATTGGCCTAAAAAGTAGAAATTTTGAGGAAATGAGAGGTATAAATGGACCAAAAGAGACTTTATAAGGAAAAATAAGAGGTCCATTAGTAGTATTTATCATCCTAAAGTCATCTTTTGTATCATATTCAACTGTTTGTAGGCAGATGAGATAAATATTTGATCATTTATTGGTCCACACTATATTCTATCATGATGCGGCTTGGTTTGAATTTTTCGAAGAAATTTTGCTCGAATCGCTGTAGATGTCGTCTTACATTATACTAGATTTTTCTCAAACTATTGAACTGATTATGACAAAACTTGACAGGAATGCTTGAAATAACCAGTATTACAAAGAAAAAAAGTCACATTCAGTTTATTCAACAAAAAAGTCTTCTTTAGGTGTAATACCACCAAATCATAGTACGTCACATCCGGTTGCATACGAAAATAGGTCGAAAAAAAATATTCCCTTGAATTTGACAGTTGTAGGTAATTGATCCTACATTTCATTGCAGTAAAACATTTCTGAGTCATAAACATATATCTTGGGTATTTCAAAGCACCATTATTTCTTTATTTGGGGTTTCTATAGAATATTTTGGAAACTTGAGGTTACATGGTTACTAAAGCTTGTACACAGGTTACAAAAGGGGGAAAATTTGATTGGTTAACTTCCAGTGATGGTTATTTTCTTATATGCAATGAAATGTTATGTGAAATTTTTTCTATAGTACTGGACAGGATAAAACTTTACTCATGCCAAGTATTTCTTTATTTGAAACAAAGATAAATTCTGCACAATTTTTTGAAAAGTGCAAATTTAACAAAGACTAATAGGGGAAAATCAATGGTGGTATTACACCTAATATGGGAAGCTGTACATGCACCTTTGACCTTGTGAGTACTCTCATGTGTTAAAATTTCTTGCTATTTAAGTGAAATATTACAAATAATGAAATATTCTAAGTGGATTGAGTCTCCAAAATACATTTTATGAGAAAATTTCCTTGAAATAGGACTTTACCATGAATATTAGTTGACAGAACAAGCCATACTTAGAGTCTTGGGGAGCTTTTTCTCCTTATTTCTTATATTCTGCTATACTAGAAAATTTTTCCTAAGAAATACTTTAATAAATATATAGTTTTAAGTAAATGAAATTATTTTTAAAGCAGTAACAACAAATTATTCACCAAAAGAGAAGTTTTTTATGTCCCTCTCTGGAACGCGGCGTAAATTTAAGTTTTACGCAAGGACTTATTGAAACCTCCTTGGAGACAGTAAACTTTTATACGGATAGTTCAAGCAGCTTGAATACTTCAATTAATCATTTATAATAACATTCCTATCATAAATGAGTGAAAGTTACCCCAAAATTTTTATTAATTGGCCTAAAAAGTAGAAATTTTGAGGAAATGAGAGGTATAAATGGACCAAAAGAGACTTTATAAGGAAAAATAAGAGATCCATTAGTAGTATTTATCATCCTAAAGTCATCTTTTGTATCATATTCAACTGTTTGTAGGCAGATGAGATAAATATTTGATCATTTATTGGTCCACACTATATTCTATCATGATGCGGCTTGGTTTGAATTTTTCGAAGAAATTTTGCTCGAATCGCTCTGGATGTCGTCTTACATTATACTAGATTTTTCTCAAACTATTGAACTGATTATGACAAAACTTGACAGGAATGCTTGAAATAACCAGTATTACAAAGAAAAAAAGTCACATTCAGTTTATTCAACAAAAAAGTCTTCTTTAGGTGTAATACCACCAAATCATAGTACGTCACATCCGGTTGCATACGAAAATAGGTCGAAAAAAAATATTCCCTTGAATTTGACAGTTGTAGGTAATTGATCCTACATTTCATTGCAGTAAAACATTTCTGAGTCATAAACATATATCTTGGGTATTTCAAAGCACCATTATTTCTTTATTTGGGGTTTCTATAGAATATTTTGGAAACTTGAGGTTACATGGTTACTAAAGCTTGTACACAGGTTAAAAAAGGGGGAAAATTTGATTGGTTAACTTCCAGTGATGGTTATTTTCTTATATGCAATGAAATGTTATGTGAAATTTTTTCTATAGTACTGGACAGGATAAAACTTTACTCATGCCAAGTATTTCTTTATTTGAAACAAAGATAAATTCTGCACAATTTTTTGAAAAGTGCAAATTTAACAAAGACTAATAGGGGAAAATCAATGGTGGTATTACACCTAATATGGGAAGCTGTACATGCACCTTTGACCTTGTGAGTACTCTCATGTGTTAAAATTTCTTGCTATTTAAGTGAAATATTACAAATAATGAAATATTCTAAGTGGATTGAGTCTCCAAAATACATTTTATGAGAAAATTTCCTTGAAATAGGACTTTACCATGAATATTAGTTGACAGAACAAGCCATACTTAGAGTCTTGGGGAGCTTTTTCTCCTTATTTCTTATATTCTGCTATACTAGAAAATTTTTCCTAAGAAATACTTTAATAAATATATAGTTTTAAGTAAATGAAATTATTTTTAAAGCAGTAACAACAAATTATTCACCAAAAGAGAAGTTTTTTATGTCCCTCTCTGGAACGCGGCGTAAATTTAAGTTTTACGCAAGGACTTATTGAAACCTCCTTGGAGACAGTAAACTTTTATACGGATAGTTCAAGCAGCTTGAATACTTCAATTAATCATTTATAATAACATTCCTATCATAAATGAGTGAAAGTTACCCCAAAATTTTTATTTATTGGCCT